AATAAATATGTATATCATAGAAAACATGTTATAGAAGGAAATATAACAGCATACTCGGCAATATCAGTACTCACCGCTGCTTTATATACATCATCCATGGCTGCTTATCTGATCCTGCAGTTGAAACAAGAGCACACTCAGACACAGCACGAGGACTGGCAGTTATAACTCCCTCTACCTTTATTGTGAGAGGACTGTGAAACTAAAAAAAGGCTCTTGACCTATCTCACAAAATTCAAGGAGGATGGTGGGAGGGGTGACAGAGGGATTAAAAGAGAGAAGTCTATAAATAGGAAACAACAGAAGGCAGCAAAGAACAGTGAAACACTGTCAGTAGCCCCTCAGCTCTCCACTGCAGCACATTTGAATCATATCACTGCAGGCTTCAGCTTTTTCTTTTGGTCTTTGAAGGTTACTCCCAGTAAACACCAGGACTGCTGTAGTTCCCAGTGACCTACACTTACAGGACTGTAATGGACCATAATATCTTAAGAGCTTCGCTGATTTTAGAAAAGACATGGCGTCATTGAACCGCTGAGTGCTGGAGGGAGCTTTAGTCGACTTCCAGTGAAGAAGAAGATAACGTCCTGCCATTAAGAAAGTAAACGTTAAAATATTTATTGGTTAGAGGTCAACTGGGACATGGCAACATGGGGGAAAGGTTTAATGATCACTGAAAATGTCCTTTTTTTCATGTCCCATGAAATCGAAATAATTCTGCCAAAAGTGAGTAAGTGATGAGCCAGAGAGTCAGTGAGACTGGGATGGATCTGTGACAGTCAGGTTTTAGAGAGCAGGACTGTATGAGAGAAAGCTGAACGCAGACTGAACCTGTGTGATTCTTTTAGAGCATTGTCTCACCAGTTGTCCCCCAAATTTAGACCCAGTTCACGTTCCCAAGCAGCCTTTAGTAACTGGTGAGGAATCAAAAAATGACATTTCATTATAAACTTTAGAACTAATTGGCTTTTGAAGAGGGTCTTGGCTCATAAGCTCCTCCCACTGCTGTGGAGAAAAGAACTGGGAATAAAACTTTGGCACAATGTCTAATCTGAAAGCACTGAAACAGGTCAGAAGGACGGAGATCTGAGAGAGAGAGAGAGAGAGAGAGAGAGAGAGAGATCTGTGACGCTGCGGAAAACACCATCATTGTAAAAATCATTAAAACATGCCAGCCCCTTATTATATCATGCTAAAATGGTTGAAACAGATGATTCCTCAATAAAGGAGATAACGTAGATACTTAGAGAGTTAAATTTGACATGCCTCCTAGACTGATGCCAAATTTTCAGTGTGGAGTGAACTAAGGGTTCTTTGTGAAGCCAGAGAGGTTGGATGGAATAGGAGAAGTAAAGCATTTAGAGTGGATGAGAAACAGGACAGGGGCTCTACACTGCGCCATAGAAGGTCCAAAGATCTGAACCAGAAGGAGATTTTGTGGATATGCGCTGTCCAGTATGGAACAGGAAGTTAGGAAGTGACAATCCGCCTCTGAATTTTACATCTCTGAAATGTGGATTTGAGCAGATAAAATAAATGATTTGGAGAGAACAGGATCCGGGACATACAGCAATAAATCATCAACACAAAGCGATAACTTAAATTCTGTGCCTAATTGGGAAATTCAGCTAAAAATAGAGGAGGACCTCAGAAAGACTGACAGGTGCTCTATGTGAACAATAGGGGGGATAATGGGGACGCCTGTCTCGTGCCACAGGAAAGACTAAAAAAGCCTGAGTGAATGCTATTGGTGGAGATGCTGGCATGAGCAGATGTATAAAGGACTCTTATAGAAATGAGAGCGACAGATTTTGAAATTAATCCAGTTTTAAGTGAAGCTACTGCAGTTGTCAATGGTGACAAAGGCACCTGTTTGTTCATTATGGAAACTGTTAGCCGATAAAAGTCTAATCATTAAAAGTGCTTCTTTCTGTCACTCTTATTATAAATGTCTACAGCTGCTTAGAGAGAGATTTGTTAAAGAGTCTGATCATTTTGGTTTAAACAGAAACAAGTGATTTATGCTAGAACGTCCTGTCCTCCCTGTTTCTCCTCACTGCTTCTCTGATATCCGCCCCTCCTCCTCCTCATACCTGCTGTGGCGAATGAAGCCTTTGGGCCTAACAACAGTTGGTCATTGAACAGTGTAAAGGTAAACCAAAACGTTTTTCTTTTTTGTTTCTGTCAATCTTGAATGAAGTGATGCTAAAATACTGTTTCTGTAAACGGAGCTCTGCTTTGAACAGAGAAGTAAAGATGCTTTTTGTGATGGAGGAAAATTATTTTATTCATTTCACAAAAAGATGTATCTTTGTAGACCATAGTGCTGTCAAACACTCACAGCTGTACATGGCTGTGATAAAACAAGTACTATCAATGAAAATACTTTGATGGCATGAAAAAATGTAACAAAAGGGCAAATTATTATGTGTAAACACAATACTGATGTAAAAAACAGTCTGGTGTGCTCAGTCATCCAGATAAGGCAATTCTGCCTGACCGGAGAGGTGATGAAACGTTTCTCCCACTGAAAACATGAAAATCGGACTAAAAATTAAATATTAGTAAAAGTACAAATTCATGACAATTCTTGCATTGCATCAGTTTTCCTAATGAACTGCTTAATAAGTGTATATTAATGTTACAAATGGTAGTAATGTTTCAGAAGGTCTACATATTCATATTTTTATGCACATAGCAGTGTTTGAAGTATGATGTTGTTTTTCAGAGAGTAACTTATAATTGTGCAAAATATTCTTGCTGCACTCTCCTTTATAAATGATCTCAATAGGGAGCTGGAACAAGTTGTCCCGGTGGCATCTTCACCATCACTGTTGAGAGAGGTGATGCCAGCACAGACAAAGCATTGTTTCTTACATGGATTCTGCATGTGCAGATTCAGGAACACTGAATCTCATTTACCCTCAGCAACTGAAGCCGGCTGTGAAGTACTTCAGAACATCTTCCTTCAGCTGGATGCCAGCAGGCTCTTGACCAAAGTACAGATGCTCAATAATAATGTGTATGAATGAGCTGAATCTTCTGACAAATGGGCAGAATTTTATTTTAGACTGAAAGTGAATAAAATAATGAATAAAATGATCCATTGGTTAAAAACAGCAGAGGAGGGAAAAACTACACTTGAGAAAATGTTAGCAAACTTTGTAACGTTTGTTGAAGGTTGGTGAGCAAGTTCAAATTATATGTTTATGAGGTATGTCGTATTTATACTCCATGCAATACAGACAAAGAGTAAAGAAAAATATGTGATTTTGACTGCGGGGTGAATGTGCGTAAACATACTTACATGTGCACGAATCTTATGTTGGCAGAAATGTTGTCATTTTCATTTATCTGTCCATCAGTGTCATGTGGTTTGGGTTTTTCTTTTAAACTCACCTACAGTGCAGGCATGTATTGATCAGTATTACAGTTAAAATCTACACAGATCCATAAAGGAATACATCCAACCAGTGTTCCCTCTAAGCTGTGCGTGGAGACTGTGTCAGCAGTGCGCGATTGATCCAACTAAAGCAGGATAACATTTATTGTTCCTGAGCTTCATGTCAAAGTAAGGAAAAAGATCAGAGATGGATCATCAGCGCAAGATTATTATCAGAAATGGTTCCCATACTGTTAACTGTCGAGTGGTTTGAAGACGCAAGACCATTAAGATCGGTGATATGCTCGGACTCAAGGTCATCATTGGCTAGTTTGCAAGACAGTCACTCAGATAGCAGGCCACACAATCTGATAGAGATTCAACAAACACTATGGAGTTGATACGATGGGGCTAATGGTCACCAGCGCATCATGAATCAGGGGAAATGAAAAGGCAGGTGTTATGGGGAATCTTATGCTGAGTAATTGTATTTGTAATGTTTTATTGTAAGTTCGGGGCACTGAGAATTTAATTCATAGAGTCCCCAGGAGACATTGAAACAATGTTTAGTCAATATCAGGTGATTCTATTGAATCAACGTAGTGAATTGTAGTGAATTGCTCACTACACTCCCCTCAGAAAATAAATGTGCTTTTGTTTTATCTTTGTTTTAAGTCAATGATCAGCTCAAAGTGCTCAAAACGTATAGACATTTCTCATGCTGAAATAAAGAGCACTTATCAGCCTACTGGAAACAGATTATTTCAGCCCGGTTTCCTGTTTGTAAGCTGACTGATCTGCTGCCCAGTGTCCATCACTCCCTCCCGTTAAATCCCGTTTGTTACTTTTAACCCAGATCAGTCACTCTGAGGGGAAACAGGCTCCAGCAGCTCTGCGCTGACAAAACGGGCTGCAGTTGTTTATTTTGTGGAGGCTGACGTCACCAGGGGTGTCCAACCTCAGGCCTCGAGGACCGGTGTCCTGCAGGTTTTAGATTTCACCCTGGGTCACCACACCTGAATCAAATGATTAGTTCGTTACCAGGCCTCTGGAGAACTTCAAGACATGTTGAAGCGGTCATTTCAATCAGCTGTGTTGGATCAAGGACACATCTAAAACCTGCAGGACACCGGCCCTCGTGGCCTGGAGTTCCCCCACCCCAAACAGCAGCTGTCCACGTTAAACCGTCACTGTCACGTGAGCGTGTTTCCTGTATCAGCAGCAGGTGTTTAAAAGCTGACAGGTAAACCCGCGGGCCCGTCAAACTAATCGTTGTCGTGAGGAAAATGACGACTCGTTGTTTATGTTACAAAAAGACGGACCAGGCAGAAGGTGTTTGAGTTTTTTTTTTAATTAAAATAATTTAATTGTTATCTTAATATAATATCGATACGTGTATATATTTGAACGAGCTGGAGATGGAGACTTTATTTTGCGGAGGTCTTTAATATTGTTAGAGCGATCAGACGGTTCCGTGAAAATGACGAATCTGCGGGTGCAACATTTTTAACACGGAGAGTGGAAAACAAACAAATCTAACCAGTTAATGTAAAAACTAGTTAACAAGGAATACCGGAACTATTGCGAGGTTCTATGAACATCCATTGCTGTTTAAAAAAAAAAAAGTTTATTGGATGAATGGAAATGAAGCGATTTTGGGACAAAACGAATTCCATCAATTTTTCGGCGTATGATGTGTAGCGCATGCGCACCGCTTGCTCTTCCTTTTTGATAGCTTCTTCACCATGGCGCCTATTGTAAGTAAAAAGTCGTGCTAAAATCTATCGAAGTTGTATCTTTTCCTCTATGAAATCTGGAAAAACTGGCTTGTTGCATCTACATGGACTAAAATGCAGGGTTTGGGTCCGTTTGTGATGTTTTTTTTCGGTTACACAGCTGAGTTTTTTGTGGCCTATGGCTGTCTGTGAGTTAACGTTAGCTTAGCAGCGTCGCAGAGCTAACCACGTTGCTAGCCCTATAACGATACCTTTGTTTAATAAGGTGCGCAGATAAGGTTTTGGAGGCTGACAGTATCTACGGAGCTGTGTTTGTTTGTTTGACCTGTTTGTTAGTTAATCGCTCCGAGACGTGGACGTTACTAGTCGGGGGATTGACGCAGAGCTCAACTCATGGAGATGTTTTTAATTACTTTTAGTCGTACTTATCAAAACATTAAAGAGTCGAAAATAGCACTTATGCATACTTAATGTTGTCATTGAATGTTCTTATAATTAAAGTCGAGCTTTGGCTAGAAACTAAGTACAGTTGCATCATCACGTATATTAAACTGTTATGCTGAATACATATAACTCTGTAGGTAAAAGCAAAATCCGCTGTTAATTCAGATTGCAGGATTTTTGAATTAATCAGTTGAATGTGATGGTGACCAGATTTTACCAATCGCTCTTTGGACCTATGTACTGCACAAACGGGAAATTAACATTTTGATACATTGGAATGTTAACAGTTGGTTGTTGTTGGGTGTTTTACTAAATTTTGTTCATATAAATGTAGTGGACAGCCTAGAGGTTCTTTGCAGTGAAGTAAATGTTTGTCCTTCCATTGGCAGAAGAAGCAGAATGTCAGCAAAGGTGGTAAGAAGAAAAAGCAGGTCCTAAAATTCACACTGGACTGCACGCACCCTGTCGAAGATGGCATCATGGATGCTGCCAACTTTGTAAGTTTTAAGCTGTAACTTTTTCTGAGTTATTTTATTACCAATTTAAGACTAAAGGCTGTTCTGCACAAGCTGCAGGGCTTCTTTGAGATGACATTCCTAGCCAGATCTGGCTCACTCTACACCCTTTCTGAGTTCAGCCTCCATTTGGATTAGCTCGGGAAACCACACCTTAACACACACCTAAGCTTCGGACTATATATTTTTTTTTTCTTCTTCTCTTCAGTCGGTAACATTTCTTGCTACAGATGTCTTTAGGGCCACATGACACTAATGGTAAATGGCCTGCATTTGTATAGCGCTTTTCTAGTCCCTAAGGACCCCAAAGCGCTTCACACTACATTCAGCCCTCTGCCCACCACCAGTAGGCAAACATGGGGTTAGTATCTTGCCCAAGGATATTTGGCATGCAGCCTGGGATCGAACCACCGACCTTCTGATTAGTGGCTGACCTGCTCTGCCACCTGAGCTACAGCCACTAAGGATGAATGTCATTAGCATTTTCTCAGTACTGGTAGTTGTCAGCACCTAGTTACTGATACTCACTATAATTTAGTGTGAAATGCTTAGTTACTGGTTATACTTATACGAGTTGTTAAGAACAAACTAACAAGGCCAATGTGGTTATGTATTACAAAGCTGAGGTGGTGGCAATTTTTCTGGCAAGTGGCAAGAAACTGTGTTTTTACATGTTTAAGATGATATCTAAAACAAATAAGAGTAGGGGTTTTTTTTCTTCTCTTTTAAGCAACAAGAAAATTGGTAAGTACCAACCAAGTTTCTGCACGTTGAACAGATAATGAGGTAAAGGTCTCCTCTCTGTGTGGCTCCTGTCAATTGATGAAGCTTTCTAGGTGCTAATTAGCTTTCTAAACTGCAGTTATTGGTTATTGCTCACAAGCATTTTGATGTCAACACAGCAGCATAACAGCTGTGATTGGAACACCTGAATTCAACAACTTGGGTGGATGAGTGAATACTTTTGGCAATGTGGTGTACGCGCCACCAGAATAGCTGCACCAAATATCAACAAACTGGGTGGTGGATTAAAAGCTGTGCACAAGGACAAACGTTGTCATAATGCCAGTAACTGTACCTAGGATAAAGAAATGCAGATCTATTGCTTAAATAAAAATAGTGCTCGTTATTTTGACTTGAGGTGGAAAAACACTTGAACGTTTAGTTTGAACATTGAAGGCTTTGCTGGAAACACAGGACTCTAAAGCAGTTACATGTAACACAGTCAAATGTGCTGCACAAAAAAGTCAAAATGAATTAACACCGAAGGAATAACCCCAGAAATGACTGATTTTTGAATATGTAACTATCTACTTGGGGACAAGTTTAATACCAGGGTTCTGTAGCCATCGAACTCACAGACATACAATTGGAAAACAGCTCGTAATAATCCATACTACTGTTAGCTTCATTTGAGCAAAAAGGCCTGATGCATTTAAAATCCACAAACTCATTCACCGAAAGAGCTTTGTTGGTTTTATTAGAACTTTGCTTGTTACTCTTCAGTGAACTTGTTGCTCATGTGGAGCATAAATAGAGCCGTCGATATAAAGTAACATTTTTACCACATGTTAATTGCAGGAACAGTTTCTGCAGGAGCGCATTAAAGTGAACGGCAAGGCCGGGAACCTTGGTGGCGGTGTGGTCTCCATTGAGAGGAGCAAGAGCAAGATTACAGTGTCCTCTGAGGTGCCCTTCTCCAAAAGGTATCAGGCACTCACTGTGTTGTTTGATCCTAATGTAAAGTTCTGAGTAAGATGACGAGACCACATTACTAACAGAAGCAAATGTAAAGACCAGTTAACTCAACATCTTCATATAGATCATGTGACGTTACTAAAAACTGCTATTGGTGATTTCACTGTGCTGAAGGGTTCATGCAGTTGCAGCCATTCACAAATACTAACATTAACATTTTCATTTTAAGACGTTAACAATCTGGTGGCATATCTGTGTCAAACGACAGCTGACACACATCTTTAATCCTGAATGACTAATAAATGTAAAAATAATAATAATGAAACGATGTCTAATAAAGTGTCAAATATATTATATGAAATGTAACTGTCTCTCTTGCAAAAACAAAGCTGCACAGGGTTTTTATTGAGTAGAATCATCATGTGACGTGAGCTGGGATATTACAACTGAAGACTGGAACCTGTAGTTTAATTGAAAGTTTAATTTCACAGCTAGTGAGCTTATTAGTCATTTTTTATTTAATAGAGGATTCCAGAAAAGCTGAGTCTTTTCAAAACTAAAAATGGATAAATGTATTTGCCACGTAAGCAAATAGTTTAACAATTAATGATGATGTCAGGGAATGGATGTTTAGGGAGTTCATCATCATCATGATCGATGAGAAAACGGCCCATGGTGAACAGGATTCAGTTCTTAAAGGTATAATGGCAGTTATGAGTTCAGATGTCGCCACACCACCACTCTGTTGTGTTTGTGGGGGAAAATGTGCTATTTTCATGGCATTGTTAAAGCAAGGTTTGCATAGCTTTTTGTAACATTCCATATACCAGGAAGCTATCCATTAGAGATGGACTGATCCGATATTACGTATCGGTATCGGTCCGATACTGACCTAAATTACTAGATCGGATATCGGAGAGAAATAAAAAATGTAATCCGATCCATTAAATATCAAAAATCACCTCACAAAACTTGCATAACTGCTCATAACCGTAGCACGTCGGAACAGTATGCATCACGTGATAGAGCGGCTGTGGTGTGCGGGACCTGTCCGCGGTCTGGTTGAGCATTTAGAGTTTGAACTTATACAAAATGCAGCAAGATATTAAAAAAACAGTTTTATTGATTAAAAAACACACTATTGGATTCATATTGGTATCGGCCCATATCCAAATTTATGATATCGGTATCGGACATAAAAAAAGTGGTATTGTGCCATCTCTACTATCACCCACCGTGCTGCTGTTCCCTGAAGGGGATTCAACTGATGATGGAATTCATCTCTTGTTTTTCCAGATACCTGAAGTATCTGACAAAGAAGTACCTGAAGAAGAACAATCTCCGTGACTGGCTGCGTGTTGTTGCCAACACCAAGGAGAGCTATGAGCTCCGCTACTTCCAGATTAATCAGGACGAAGAGGAGGAAGAAGATGATGATTAAAATGGCAATTAATCTGATTTTGTGTATTTAAATAAATGTTGTTTACAATACAGAGTTTTTGTTTAAGGTTCTTTTTCATAATGTGATGACAGATCCGGAGCAACATTATTCATTCCAGTGTTACTGCACTGTAGAGCACTCACTGTAGGATCTACATAGGACCCAATGAATCATGGAAACAAGATTTTAAAAAATTGCAAATTAAGCAGCTCAGATGGGCTAAAATAAAACTGAGCGATGTGATTTTGTTCATTCTTTATTGTTGTGAAGTGGGCGGAGTCTTCATATGGTCAAATATGAGTCAATTACTGCTGGAGTTGAAAACAAACTGCTTGTAATTTAATGTAAGAGTTCTTCACAGGGTTCTTTCTGTCCTGTGACAAACCCAGTACACCCTCGGACTTATTAGCTTGTAGATCCAGCTTTAGGAGGACATGTTTTCGGTTTGTCTTGCGTTGTTGTAGAGCAATTTTGGCCCCACTACAACAATCTGTTGTGGATTTGCTGGTGTGTTTGGGGTCACTCTCCTGTTTCTCAAACCAGTTTTGCTCCTTTCGTAGTCTTGATGGTGGTGATTTGGTGGCTGAGGAAAGGCACAGACCAGTTTCATGTCATTCCACGTGATGCCACTCAGCCAATCAAATGTGTGTATTCTGGGCAGCAAACACTACGACTGTACAGTACAGACAAGATTTAGAGGCAAATGATGCAGAAAAAGATGGTAGAAAGCAAAAGAGAATGATACATGTAGAAAAAAAAAATGAGAGCGATACAGTAATGAAGTACCAATATTTCAGGTTTCTGTATTATTATTATTTTTCTGACAACGTTTTGCTTTTAATCCCTACAGTTTTAAACAAGTATCTGAACTTTCTACTCCTTTCAAAACAGGCTGTTTGCTTAAGTTATGGTCAAACGTCTTAAAATACCCCAATTTGTCCTGTTATCTATTGTAATTCAAGTTGTTTAAGTACAATGAAAGCTTGAAATGTTAAAGTGGTGAGCTGGCAGAGGTTTAAAAAAGTAAGGTTACTCAAAACTGAAAAATCATGTACATTTCACAATGATACATGGGTTCACAATTTAAAGCTGTTCTGCAGCAATGGAGGTTGATCAAGCCTTGAAAGCTGGTGTAATTCCTACAGCTGTTCCAGCTGTTGTGGATTACTTTGTCTGCATAAAAGTTGAACAGTGTTGTACTACAGAAAGTAGTGTGTTGGTACAAAAATGGTGAGAAAAAGGCTATTAACAATGGAAGAGAGAAGGACCATTATAATACTAGCCAGCTGAGTCTAATAATATGGGGTGATAACAGGAGGAGGAAAAACTGCAGAGGCGTGTAAGACTGGCCCCCACTATAGTCACGTTTTGGGTAGGTACAATAAGTTTGTCCAGGTTTCTAGAAATTAGAGCTGCTCCATCCAAACTGGGATGGATTCTGTGTCTCTTAGAAAGACCATGTTTTCCCCAGAAAATTTCCAAATGATCTATGAAGCCCACATTTTTGGACACCACTCAGTCAGCCACCATTTTAAGGCAAACATGGACCCTAAAGATCTTTAAAATGTTTTTTCTAATCAGATTCTTACTCTGGATGGCATTACCTTGGCCTCCAGTAACACTGTGAGGAACATTGGAGTCATTTTTGACCAGGACATGTCCTTCAATGCACATATTAAACAAATATGTAAGACTGCGTTCTTCCATTTGTGCAACATCTCTAAAGTTAGAAATATCCTGTCTCAGAGTGACGCTGAAAAACTAGTTCATGCATTTATTACTTCCAGGCTGGACTACTGTAATTCATTATTATCAGGATGTCCTAAAAACTGCCTGAAAAACCTTCAGTTAATCCAAAATGCTGCAGCATATTTCACCTGCACTGACTTCTCTTCATTAGCTCCCTGTTGAATCCAGAATCAAATTTCTCATCTCATACAAGGTCTTGAAAAATCAGGCTCATCATAAAGACGTTGTAGGCTGTTAATTTACTTGTTCCTAGAGTATTTAAAAGTAGAATGGGAGGCACAGCCTTCAGTTTTCAGGCCCCTCTTCTGTGGAACCAGCTCCCAGTTTGGATTTGGAAAACAAGATTCCCGGTCTACCTTTTGGATTAGGCTTAAAACTATGCAAGTGCTCAATAAAGCATATAGTTAGGGCTGGATCAGGTGACCCTGAATCCTCCCTTAGTTACACTGCTGGGGGGCTTCCTTTGATGTGAGGCCCTCCCCCCCTCTCTGTTTCTACACTACTCTGCATTAAATCAGTCATTATTTCTCTCTGGGTTTTTCTTCCATTACAGTGTTGTCCGGTCTTCCTGGTCATGAACGCCCCTCTGAGCCAGGTTCTGCTGTAGACTTCATGTTAAAAGGGAGTTTTCTTTCCCACTGTCACCAAAGTGCTTGCTCATAGAGGACATCAGATTGTTTGGATTTTCTCTGTATTTTCGGATGGTCTTAACCTTACAATGAAGCACCATGAGGCAACTGTTGTTTGGTGCTGTACAAATAAATCTGAACAACCTCCCCACCTCTGAGGTGGATGGATGGATGAATCGTTTTGTTCAATCTGACCTGAGTAGAGGTTTGACTGCACAGACAAATTCATTTACAGGAATCTTTATTCAACCATTTCAATGAAATAAAAAAAAGCAAGAAACAAACCAAACAAAAACATAACCCAGAGAAATTTCACCATTAAAAAGAACGCACTGCACCTTATCACGTTGAACGAGTTTAGACAGTGCATTGGTGGTTTTGAAGGTTCAGACCTGTTTGTGAAATTGCTTAGAGCGCTGTAAAAGTTAAACTTAATGAAATAAACAAGAGAAAAAAAAGAGCTAAGAGACTCTGTGGTCTTGGAAGGACTGAGGCGCGCATCATTGATGCAAACATTGAAGAAACAAGGAATGTAACATCAACATGAAGTGCACAGAACATGGCTGCTGTGTCTCAGGTAATATTCTTCCATACACTTACTATTTAATGCATAAGTGTGCTCACAATGACAAGTGCGACTGCATAGAGTAAACAGAGTACCTGAATGGTATACTCAACAGCTGGACCAGGATGCATACGAGCCATCCGTGTTGTTGCACCAGATCATCTTTTCTTAGTTTCCTGTATATCCATAACAACAATAAGCTTGGCATTTTTCAGACTTTTGGCAGTTGTTAATAAAGCTGTGGTGTTGTCAAACTGCACGTGGATACTCCAAGTATAATTTGCAAAGGAAAAAAAGCTTTTTAAATCTCATTCTGGGGCAGTCTCCAAAAGTGTTTTAATCAGATTTGACTCGCGATTCTATGCATGCAGTTTGGTCCTGGTGAACACTAAAGTCAAACCTTCAATTCAATCAAAAGAAGCTTCAGAATAGCTGCCCAGAGGCATTACCAAGGTGGCTGCCAAACATCAAGACAACTTCAGTCAGTGGAGAGTATACAACCAACTGTGTTTAATCTGGGTAAACACTATCCTGTCGACCTTAATGCAGTCTGCAACAAAGTACTTAAGTGCACTATATGGAAGTGTATTACTGCAAGTATTCAAAATGAGACACAGTGTATGTTCCAAATCCTGATTATAATCTGCAGCAGTCGCAAACACTCGGTCACACTGCCACAGACAAGATGGATCAGCTGATCCTCGGAACCAAATAAACAAGAATTCCATAACCTGAACATACATGTAGAAAAAGGCACAGGTATGGAGTGTTGGTCTTTAAAATGCCCCCAGTAGGAAAAGACCGAGGGCTCCTGAAGTAGCACCTGTAAATGTCACAACTATCAATACTGAAACAAACAAACAGAATTAAGAGACCCGACATGAATGAGAAAAGAAACTGGAATGGGTTTTTTGGGAAGCACAACTTTGCTGGACGAGATGTGCTTAGAACAAACCGTTGCAGGCTCATTGGGAAGTAAAGATATCTTGACCATTCATTGTGAGAGCTGGACCATCCAGAGCATCTGTCAGTCTCCAGTCCCATCTTCTCTGATTTGAGTGTCCAAATTGTTGTGGAGTCTGTTGGGAGTCGAGATGTGTGGATAACCTTCAGACTCGTGAACACCTCTCCCCTCAACTCAACCATCCCACTAGCACGATGCTGTGACTAGTAGCGACTGAACAGGTCAGGTATTCCTGCTGATCACATGGTTGTTCCTCTGCTCTGTGAAATGGGTTGAGGTGTCACTGCTGGTGGGCCCTTCAGATTGTTCGGGGGTTGTACTCAGGCAGCTTTTTAAGTTTCTCCTGTTCCTGCTCAGTATCCTGTCTAGCAATGACCAGAGAGTGAGAGTAGCCCATCACCACCTGGAGAAACAACACGCACGTTATTTGAAAGAGAAGGACATTTCCCTGCTTTGTGGTAAATAGACAGGTTCTTATATTTCAAATCTACCCGAGTCCTCAAAGCGCTTTGTACAACCTGCCTCGTTCACCAAGTCTCACAGGCACTTTTGTCCTATGCTTTTTCAATTTAAGTGAGCTGACTTTTTTTTTTTTAATATACCACCACATCACAACAGATGCCTCAAGGAACTGTACATTGTAAGGCAAAGAGCCTACAGCAACTATTAGTTGCTATTGTTATTATTAATTGCTACAATGTGTAGCAATTAGTCTACAGGTTTAAGGACATCACTACTGAAGTGGAGTACAAGCAAACTAGAGCTGATATAATGCTTATTCAAAGTTTTACTTTTATTCAATCCAAGCTCACACACATTATACAGTTTATCTACCCGTAAGCACTTATATAACACACACACACACACACACACACACACACCAGGGTTCAGTATCTTGCCCAAGAATACTCGAGTTTTTGGGAGTCTGGGATCGACTCTGCGACCGTCTGATTGGTAGCTGACCAATCACACCACGTTCTACCACCTGAGCCACAACCGCCCCAGTACAAATCCAAGACTGTCTGAAACTATGCATCAGATTTGGATCGGATCATTCACACATTCTAATTATGTGTGAAACTTTGGCACTGCTTAATTTGATCAACGATTGATCAGCGATTGTAACAGTACCGGTATGCATCTTAATGACTCTACTTCAAATAGTTACCACCTTGTCCATTTACCTGCTCAATGTAGATGCCATCCAAGGTCTTTACCTCCTGGGCGGTGGTGGAGGATTTGGGTTTGGTGTCTCCGTATCCCTGCAAGATCAATGACAGATGTGATCAATGTTCATCTCCTATCTTACAACAAAACAGCCAATATCACAATATTTCACTTGCATAAACATTGTTCGAATTTGGAAGCAAGTCACTGGTCAAATTCATCTTCATGTGAATGTCAAAGAGATTTTGACAAGACTGTAGCAACACTAAAGCACACTACAAAGTTTCAATGTAACAAGACTGTGGAGTCTTATGATCGTTTTCCAATTCATCCTCCAACTTTAATTTTCCTGTGTCCCACTTATTTAAGTTATATTAAAATAATTTAAGTACTAAGTTGTTTTGCATCCTTTTCCCCTGTTTTCCCACGGTGCCTACTGAACAGCCATTGGATGGTCTTCTGGTTTTTCGACTTCACAAACTATACAACACACTGATGGCCCTGGATACTCATACTGCAGTCAAAAACAAAAATGCGCAAGGTTGGAATCAGGCGGTGGGATAAAATTGTTCTTAGTATACAATGAAGTGCAAGCTGCGCCAAGTTGCAACGCTTACAGTTTAACAAGTCCATTTCAGTCTGGACCGTCAAAACTGATTCCAAAATAACTGACCAATGTGAAAGATGCAATGCCTCTTCTTGCAACCTGAGCCACATGTTTCCACTCCTGGTGTAAAATGAACAAATGTTGGACTGACTACTTCATGATCATGTCTAAGGTTTTAGGGACACGGGTAAATGTGGAGCTTTTCATTGCTATTTTTGGGGGTTCCACTTGTTCCCCTGTAGATTACAAGTCGTTCTCTCTTAGGAAGATATCCGCCTTCTCTGGAGTTCACCTTTAACTTCCCCAAGTTTTTGTGGCTCAAAGACGAGATTTCTTTAACTGGAAAAGATCAATTTCACATTTAAAAGGTAGCTCTTAATTTCTTTCAAATTTCTTTTATTGGTTAAATTTTTCCAACTATGTCTGTAGTTTGTGTATACCCTGTAAGTTGATTCTGTTCATCTTGATGTTCATCATAAATCCCCCCTCCCAACTGGAAAACTTGCTACCTGGCGCACTGCTCTGAGCATGCGTGTTTAAATACTGTCAGCGCGAGTTTCAGACGAGCAATGAATGAGACTCGCTCATCGCTTGGATTTTAAGGAGGATGTCAAACAAAATGTGGTAATTTCCAAAACATGCTGTAAAACTATTGCTGCAAACGGAGCAATGGCATGAATTTATTCCACCAGCTGAATCATCCACTGCAGAATTAAGACTGTTTTACACTCTGCACGCCAACGTCTCCCCACACCCAGCGGAAACGTTAAACCAGCTGTGACACCTGTGACTGTTCTCGGTCAGTAGTTTTTACACTCAGTATCTAGACTTTTGTTTCTGTAATTTGAGGGCATCACATTTTTTATTTGACAGATTTTATGTTATTAGCACAAAAGAGCACCTGTGTAATTTCAATCGTTTTATTTTGTCTCACAAAATATTGATATTTTCACTAACTAAATTTTAATTTTATTGTAACTAAATGTTACTATTTTAACCAAACAGAACTATTGTTCCGTATGTTTTTGTTCAGGTTTAAAAACAAAAATAACGACAGATTACGTAGACGATGGCCTACAAAGCTGTTAACACTGGACATGTGATGTCTCATAATGACTCTTACCAGCTCTCCAAATGTGGGTGAGGGTCCCCAGCTGATTGTACTCTCATCTGCAGCAATGATGATGCTGCTCTTCCTGATCGATACAAACATGCAAACAGAGTCAGAGCTACGGATGTAGATAAGAAAACAACAAACAGTCCCAAAAGTGTATGTAAAACACTATTAAAAGTGCTTTACTTACATTAATTGTATTGTAAAGTACTATACATACATATTACACATAGGGTGCTGAATAATGACCCATCTTATCTTAAAGACCTCATAGTACCATATCACCCCAAAAGAGCATTTGGCTTTCAGACTGCAGGCTTATTTGTGTTTCCTTCAGCTTCCTGGTGCCTCTTCTGTGGAACCAGTTCGCTTTTATGGCTGAAGGGTAATAAAAACCAAAAGAAAAAAACGAAACAAGTGACGACAGCACTCACCCACATGCCAGGCTGCGGATCTTCCAGCCACAAAGATCCTGCACAGCTTTGGGGTACATGGTTGACTCTCTAGAAGTATTGGTCACCCCCCAGAAAAACAGCCCACCTGTAAAATACAACATGTACAGATTTATACGTGTGCTCCTCTCACACCTCTGTTTAGAGATCTTGTTGCAATGTGACATACCCATCTCGCTGACAGCAAACGAACATTGGTAGCCTGCATAGATCTGACTGGCACCACGGCCAGGAAAGTCAAACAGCTTGACCAGCCGGGGAACCATCTCATCCTTCTGCTCGGTGTGACCGAGGCGCCCATAGCCGCCAAAGCCCCAGGTGAACACGCGCTTCTGAGAGTCCAGCACCAGCTGAAAACACAAACAGCAGCAGTTTGTAAACCTTTTTGCAAAATTAAAAAAAAATCAATCAATCAATCACTGGCCATCTAATTTGATTTGCTCCTGATAAGACTTCTGGGAATCCTCTCACCGTGTGATTAGCCCCGCAGGCCACGTCTCTCACAACCACGTTAGGCACAGGCATGATCTGGCCATCCTTGGACTTCTCAATGAAGATCGCGACACGACGAGGGATGAGCTCACAGTCGAACTCTATGCGCTGGGCACGAGCTATGAACTTTCCATCACTGTTGTGACCTGCAGTGACAGAGATGCAGAACAATAAAAAACTAATGGAGTTTATCGTTCCCAACACATCAGTGCTTTCCAGTGCACAAACTACACTACTGTGTCTACATGATACATATCCCGTGGTATGAATTTCAGAATTCTATGCCACCTCATTCTCAAGTTATCACATTCACAAACTTGGATGTCCATGCTGTCAGCCCAAGTCTAACCTGGGAAATTCACCATGATGAAAATCATTTGCGTGCATTTAACTACAGTTTTCTAGAATAAATCAGCAAGAAAGGTTTTGTGAAACACGTCAGTGATGGTGAACTGTAATGGGCTCGATATAAAATGTCATTTCATCTTGATAAGTGTGTAGTTTGTTAACATATGAAAACACTTTATTTACCAACCCAAACAGATGCACCTATGGTATCAATTTCAAAATCTCGAGTTAACACATACACAACATTTTTGGAAAACTTGACCCTGAGGTTGAGATCGCTGAAATTAAAACTGCTCTAAGTTTTAGTAGATGCACCTATGGTAACAATTTAAAACTCCTAAATCGCTGAGGCGTGAAAACTGGTGTCATTGCAAACAATCTTCTGCAGCCTTAAGCAGTTTTAAACTGTAAACAATGTTAAAACATGAAAACACTGTGCTGAGAGCTTACCCAGCTGTCCATACTCTGGGCAGCCGAACGAGTACAGGTTTCCTTTGCAGTCCACCACCATGCTGAATTCAGCACCACAAGCCACCTTCACCAGGGGCTGCCCATTGTAGGAAATCTAGAGAGAAACACAATTCAGTTTTATTTATATAGCTCCAAATCCCAACAGTTACCTCTAAGTGCTTAATACTGTATGGTGGCACCCTAAAATAATGGAGCGAAAACCACAACAATCAGACAACCCCAGCAGCCTAACCCCATCACAGCAAAACTAAGGGAGGTTTCAGGGTAACCCGATTCAGCCCCAACCAGCTTTATTAAAAACGATGCTTTAAGCTTATCTTAAAAGCCACGAGTATATCCGTCTCTTGACTGACTGGTTCAACAGAAGAGGGACCTGAAACCTGAAGGCTCTCTCTCCCACTCTACTTTTAAATAGCCTAGCAGGCAGTCTGAGAGGAAGTGATATGGCTCAGCACGGGTAACAATAACTTTAATTGTGTATCACATTTTAACTGAATTTGTGCTTCACAGTTTGAATAAAAGACACATTAAAAGTATACATGTTCAGACATACAGACCAACCACATGGGGTAAAACATTTATTCCAACATACACACTTAGATGTAAACTACAGCCCAAAATAAAGAGGAAAAGATTAAGGGAACGCTAACCTATAAATGTGTTTTCAGCAGTCGTTTAAAATAAATCTCACGCTTAACTTGACAGGGTGTTTGGGCACCACAGCCTCACCAACATAATGTTAGGAGACCCTGGTTAGAGGATTGGACAGGTCAGCCGCAATGGTAAGCGCTCTGAAGTTTACCAATGCGGCTGACTAATCAAAGGTCCTGGGACCCTGTTTCTCAGCTCATTCCAGGTGCTGCATGTTTGTTTTTTTATTACAGGTACAGCAGTTTGCCATACATTATACAGAGCTCGAGACTAACTTTTTTTTCTTAGGTGCATCAGCACAGAAGTTGGGTGCACCCAAATTTTTTTGACCGCATCGCATTCTTTACTTTGAAAGGGCCTGCTTCACCGCTCCACTTAAGATCAAAGTGGTATGTGGCCCGTGATGTAAAATGAATTTGATACACATCGATCATAATTTAAGACCAATGCATTAATTAATCAAAGGAGTAATTAATCATATGATAATTGGGGTTTTCTCTGTATTATTGTAGAGTGTTTACCTTACAATATACGTGCCTTCAGGCAACAATTTGCTACATTTATACAACACTGTTTCTGATGCTGGATTTAAGAAATAAGTTCGCTTTTAAAACATGTAAATGTTTTGTTCTTATGTATCACTTTTCTACTCTGCAGGAGCGCTCAAAGTTCTTTATACGATGCCTCATTCACACCTCTTCACACAAGCACTGTTTCAATGCAGAAGTGCTTTCTATCTAACATTCACACACATTCATGCTCTGATGGATGCAACAGAAAGCCACTCCTGTTTGAGGATTCTGACAAGAGGCGGCAGCGGTGTTGATTCATTTAAATTAACCACCTCACTGCTGTAACCAGGTTTCTAGCAGGCAGAGTAAATCAATAACTTGATTAAATAATTAATCATTTACTCACAAAGACTTAGAAGAGCGAGACCACTATAGAGTAAGTTGTGCACAAGAAAACTATAATCCAGGCAAATAATTTCATTTCACAGGATCAATTAAATTCCTTGCATGTAAATTCAATAACCTGCACGTGAACTTAGCAGCCACATCCACAAAGAAGCCACTGTCTACGTGAGTATGTCTCCTTGGTGCACTGTTGCAGTTTCACAGTCTGTGGGTAGCTCTCTGCGCTCTAAATCCTGTATGCACAAATCAACTGATTTCTGAATGTTGGAGGCAGAGCACAAAGGAAGGTGGTGTCCTGCTGTGGTCACTTTGATGGACTGTTCAGGTTACGGCTTTAAACTGAGTTACATCGCGGCAGCGCCGTTTTAAACCCTTTTTGTTTACAATTTGGAAAATAAAGTTAGCAGAATTAACGATCCACAGTCATTGTTTGCTGTGTAGCAGAGGAGTTGCTGACAACCAAAGGATTCTAAGGTAAACTATGAAGCCACTGCACTGCTGTCCCATTAATTAACAATTTTGTTTTTGTTTGATAATTTTATATAATTGTTTTGAGTTTGTTTTTGTTATTTTGAAACCATAAAAGCTATGCAATAGCAGATTAACTGTATTCATTTCCTGTGACTGACGAGACTTGGACAGCAGTGACACCTACACCACCACACTTTATCATCTGATAAAAGGAAGGAAAAGTACGAGTTACACCCTGGCTTACCAGTGCTGGGGTGAGGACTGCATCAGTCTGGTTGCCCTGACCAAGCTGGCCCAGCTTGTTCTCTCCAAATGAATACACAGCGCCATCCTCTGAGGAGACAGAGTACCATCAGCAAACATGTTAAAAGCACAGAGCCATTACCGACTGGATTTCAGTTTGGAAACCTCCTTCGATGACCTGTGCAATCAAACCAATAATGCGTAATCCAATCCCAGAATACACTGGTGTTTCATTTCAACAAGCGGCTGTATTACACGATCTTGTGGCTGTTCTGCACAACCACTGAAAACAGCTGCTGTTGTGCAAGGAAAACCCACACAGTCCCCAGTTAAGCCTACCTGTGAGTGCCAGGGTGTGATTGCGTCCACAGGCTACAGAAACAATAACATGCTCTGCCAGGGCCTCGATTAACTTGGGAGCTTCCAGGCGCTTGGTGTCTCCATGACCCAGCTGACCTTTGTCATTACGACCTAAGGAAGCAGGAAGACAAGCTCAGTGTCTGATAACACAACCAACACAGACAACCACTGTGCATGTTACTTACCCCAGCTCCACAGCTTGCCCTCTGTGGTTATGAAGAGACTGTGAGCAGCACAGGGGCCGGACACCACGCAGCTAACCTGGACGTCATTTAGGCAGCCATAACGATGAGGGCCCCAGAGATTTTGGCCCAGGTTGCGGAAAGCAGCTAAGAAACACACACAGAACCCGTGTCAAGACCCCCCACACACACAAATGCACAACACTGGCACAACCAGTGTTGCCAACTCCTCAGTAAGGAAAATCGCTATTGGTTGTCCTAAAAGTCGCTAGAAGTCGCTAAATGACGTCATCGCCTAATTTGCATAATTGGTCATGCTAATCTAATTGTAACCTATGTTGTTGGAGAGAGAAATAACATCGTGGAAGAGACATAAAGTGAGTAAAAAACGTCCTAAATGCATTTAGAGTTTATTTAGAACTACAAATTAAATTTCTTTTAGCAATTATTGTTTTTTTTAATGTCACAATTCCAACCCTGCTCCTTTACCCGGGCTTGGACCGGCAAAAGTGACCCGAAATAGGCACTCTGGTGGAGTTACTTTGTGTGTGTGTGTGTGTGTGTGTGTGTGTGTGTGTGTGTGTGTTTATAAGTAGTTTTAAACCTTGTGATCCACAAAACAGCATAAGAGTAAAAGAAGAACTGACTGCGTTACAGCACCCGCTGCTTGTTGAGAGTAAAAGCGATACGCGCTTTCACATCTTTTTTTAGTGACTTTTTTTTAGAAAAAAAAGTCGCTAAGGGGTCTGAAAACTCGCTAAATATAGCGACAAAGTCGCTAAGTTGGCAACACTGGGCACAACGCTCCCTCTGTACCTTATTCTGTTCATAAACACTGCATTCTTTAAGAATGCTGACGTTTCTATAAACGGAGCACAAAAAAGAACGTTTGTGTTTGATCATTTCTTGTAACAATACTTCTTTGTAATAACTAAGCTGCACGGTTGGCTTTGGAGAACTTTAATAGTTTAACTGCACAAAAAAATTGTCAAAAAAACAGCGTTGACTGTATTTATGTGCCAAGTCAAAAATATACTTTCTAAAGAGAAAATATTTTTGTTAAATGCAAAAATATATAAATAATGTCAAGTGCAGTCAAAGCTTAACATTTTTATTGGTCTGTGGAAAAAATTTTATATTTTTAAATAAATGCAATTTCATTAACACAATATTTTATATTATTTCAATTTTATTTTATTCAAAAAATATTTCAAGTGGATGTGGTCTGACACTGCCCACGGCCCCCTTTAGACTCACCCCTGCTTGGCCTTCAGTGAGCTGTGTAATATAAACATGCTAAGTTAACAGTGCATCTGCTGACTTTAACGGAGGAGTTTTCACTGTGTAAAACAAACAGCGGTGGAGACAAAGTTTACTTTTCTTCAGGTCAGCGTTTGTTGATCAGGTGGTTTGATGAGGACTTTGCTAGCTTTTCCCAGTAAAAGGTTTTAATGGCGATTACAGGAACAGTGCCGCCGGTCAGCCCGACCTCCCGATGTTATCAGCTCCACCTCTCTGCTCTTCTCCGGTGTGTAAACAGACTCTAGAGTGATGAAAAACTAATAAAATGCACCTGGAAAGTGTGGCGCATTATGGCGTGCATTTTTAAGGATGCACTATTCAAAAATCCGTGACAACCACCTCAAAAAACCAACTTATCATACATCTAGTTTCCTTTGAAAACTGCAAGTGGCCAGAGTCAGGAAAGACTGAGAAATCCACTGCTGCAGCTGAGCTGTGGTGTCTTTCAGGGAGAGCAACAGCTTCCCACTCCTGCTGATACACCAGGACAGCAGTGAGAGGAGCCAGCCAGCTGAGAGATGGAGAGCAGAATAGACACGCTGTTGTGCCTTTATCAAAGACTGATAGTTTAAAAATAACTAGCTACCCGTTTTCAGGTAATATTTAAATAATTCTGTCATTAAAATGGGATGTTTTCAGTCGTGCTCAGGTCCTACAAGCAAAAAGTAAACAGGTACTTAAACCTTCGACAACACTTGAAACATCCAGTTACATGAAACATGGTGTATTCTGGATTATACTACTGTATATTATGTATTTGTTGCATGTTATTGTTGCAGATGTCAAATGCTTTATATATTTTACAGTAAGTTCACAATGATGATATTCATTTGTATCATCTCTGCGCTGTTAGAGCCGTTTAAGACTCTGATATCTTTTCCATCTGGCTTGAAACAGTGCGCATATACAAGCACTCCCAGTGTCACGCGAGCTTTTATTTCCTAAACAAAACTTACACTTTAATTTTTTTTTTTCCATTTATACTTCCTTTGCAAAAAAATATGTTTGTAAATTCTGGATTTGACATAACCAAATAGATTGGAATATAAATACTCACTTCATGTAGTTAACACCATCATCAGCTGGTTAAATAAACAAGCCCATTCACTCATTTGGGGTCCAGATGTCAGCATGAATTAACCTATTTCAGACTCTTTGGCTGCAATGATTTTTTTAACCCCAGGATCACACAGACTGAGATGTGTACGGCCAGTTCATAGTGAACAGGCTGCATCATCAACTGACTTCTCTACTGCAGATGTAAACTAATCAACCACTTATTGATTTTGTCTGGGTCTGTATGCCCCTGCATCAGTTCTGCACTTTAATGAGAACAGCAGTCAGGTAAAGACAAGAGCATCCACACAGCAAACAAAAGCACTCACATGCACAGAGTGCTTTTTCTTGGAGCCAATTTCTTTTCATGTTGTTTGGGAAACTGTTGCAGTCATTTATTGAAAATTTTGCAAATAAATGAAAATACAGGAAGCACAAAGTCTGTGCAGTTCTAATGAGCTTGAAATGAATATTTGATACGTCTTTGTTCTTTGCTCTCCTCTATGAAGATAACACCACACACTGCTGCATCTCTCTCGACCTCCTCCATAGATACCAGATATTGTAAATTTGCATTTGTCACTCCTTAAGACCTGCTGTCACTGAATTTTGAGGAAGCTTGTGAGAGCTTTCCTTAGTAAATCAAATTTTTGCCGTTTCTGTCTTGAACAAAGGTGACGACAGGATTCAGGAAAAATTGACTCTAGAGGGTAAAGAATGGCTTCTTGACAGCCACACGTCTACTTCTGATGAGGCTTGGCATACAGTAGACGGATCAACTGACAGGCCAGATGCATCTTTTAGATCCTGTGTTGAGTCTTTGCTTGATTATGTTCCTATTTCTTATGGACATTAGTTCTTGAAGATCTCTGAAAGCTTGGAGGATTATTGTTTACAATATTAAGCAAAGTATAAAATAGAAATAAGATGGCTCAAGATTTTTGAGGAATCATTTTCAATGAGTAATTAGTACTTTTAACTGGTTGTAATGAAAGATACAATCAATGTGACTCAAACTGCTCCAATGTTACAGGCTTAAAGCTTTCAACATGTCCTGATGTTGTCTCCACACTCTCAGATGTCCAACTAGGGGCTAAATTTGACGAGTACCTGGAATCTAGTTAAGTGCTAGTGGTTCAGCTTCCAGTGCAACAAGTCTGCAGCAGTATATCACAGCTGATAACATTTGTCTAGATGATGTTCAATGATTTCTCTGCCCAGGATATGCCCCTAGTGCCCCTGAAGACAACAACACAGGGACTTGATATCTACAATATGGTGAAGAGATTCTTCATGGAGGAAAAAAAAAAAGAAGATAGCAGTGAAAAAGCTGTTGACGTAACTACAAATGGAACAGGCGTCATTGTGCAATGTAAAAATTACACAGATTTCCCAACATTTCTACATTACCCCCGCACCATTCAGCAGCAGGTCATTGATACATGCAATATGACAACTCCCATCATAGAGATCATAATTAGCATCTGGAACTTTTAGCTGAATATGGTAACCTGTTACAAAACACAAAGATCCGATGGTGCAGGCGGGGGCGAGTTTGGCAGTGTTTTTGTCACTTTTGAATTCAATGAGTTAATGCAAACCCAAGATGAAGACATCTCACTGGAAATGCATTTAAAGCTACGATGAAAATTCTCTCTGTACATTTACAGAGGAAGAAAGAAATCCCTGCACTTTCCCTCTGTGCAGTCAGTGCTGAATAACAATGCTTCTGCATCTGGGGCTTTGGATGAAGCTGCAGACAAGTACGCTCAAGTCTTAAACAGACTCGGGCAAGAGTTTGAGAACAGGTTTAGTGACTTTGATCGACTTGAGCCATGTGTGTGTTAGTCATCTGAAATCATTTCATGTAAGTGTACACGACATGCACTGCTGAACAGCTAAGTTCAACTTGGATGCTGAACAAGATCCAAGATCCTAACAAAATGACCTCCACACATCTACAAGACTCACTCAGAAGTGCAGTGTTGTTTATATTGTAATTATAGCCCAGATTACAGTTCACTGGTGTACAGCATATCTGTAAGTGGGAAACCAGGCTTCCCACTAACAGATATATACAAAGACGTTTTCAGTAAAAGACGCTGTAGTTCTGTTAAACTCAAATATTGTACAAAAATGTGATCAGTTCAAATAAAAAAAATGTTACATGATTTGAAGTTGTGACAGTTAATGGTTTCTTAAAGAAAATTATTTTAGACAAAATGCTACAAATGTGTTCATTCATACAAAACTGTCAAAATATTTACAAAAATATCACAAGTGGAAACAGACTTTAAAATGTTGATACAGAAGATTCGCACAAATAAACAATGTTGTGTATTTAAATCTGCGTTCCCCAAATAATTGCAAATATTAATTCTGGGGAATCCTCGACACTACTGTGATCAGGTCACCCGCTCTCAGATAGAAATATTAGCACTAAAGGGGAACAGCTAAACTTTGTTATTCAAGATATCATACAAGTAGCACCTCGTACTACTCTGTATGCTTCAAGTAACTCTCAGTTTAACAAAAGGTCGGTGACCCTTGACCTAAAGCGCAGTATAGGTTGACCTCACAACTACCAGCACCATGGAAGCTCATGAAAGGTGTGTTTGTATCAAACAACAGACAAACTGTTTGATAGAATAGAAAGGTAAAAATAACATTTTGTAGCTTTGATTATGCACTGAAGCCTTTTCTTGATAAAAATAGTTTCTCTAACAGGCTCAGGACTACAGTGTGCACTCTCTGTACAAGGACCTCAGGAAGCTTCTTAATCACGCCATCATGACCAAAATATTAAAAATGACTAGATGAGTCATACTCCCTAAGAAAACAGGACACACGTGGCCATGCCAGCATACAAAAACTAGACTATCCTGCGACACAGGTACATTATAGGATAGCCATTTGAATGGTGTTTACCTTGCTGTTTGGGAACCTCCTTTCTTCCAATCAAATCCCAGTTGGTTGCCCCAAAGATGAGCAGTTGGCCCTTTACCTTTGGGCACTCGAGTTTCTGCAAAAAGAGGACAATAACTATAAAAAACAAACAAACAATGAATAAACAAAAAATAAATCTAATCTAAATTTCCTGGGTCAAAGGGAAAAGTAGGTTTTATTTTGTATTATTATTTAGCAATAACCAAACAGGAACAGCTTTAACACAAACTTTTCATACAGCAAATATTTCTTTTTAAACAAGAAAAACAAGGAAAAAATGCTGATTAAATTTCATATTACAGGTCAGGCTGTACTATGAGAAGGGAAAAGCATAAACACACATGCTGATGAAAAACAACAAAGAAAGGCGAACGGTTTGACTGACGGTCATTATCAGGTAATAACTGAGAAATGTTTGTAACACAGAACACTTTAACTTTCAAAAACCAGTCAGTCTATGTTTGATCAAACGCACTATTTTCTCTTTCACGTCGTCTGCCACAGTGACCGGTTGGAGACCAGACTTGGTGGTGGGTTTGCCGGATTTCTTGTTGTTTTCCTGCTCAAAGTCAAACTCGTCATCACTGCTGAAATCCCTCTCTCTCTTTTTCCCGCTGGCTCGCTTCCTTTTCATCCCACCATTCCCTGAGACATCTGTCACCTTCTTGCGTGGCATCTTTCAAACTCAAGCTGTTTTCTGTGGAAAAGAAGAAACCACATAGTGTTATTCAGACCACATGGAAACTTAATTGTCAAAGAAACAAAGGCTGTGGAAAAGACCAAACGAAGGCTTGTTGAATAAAACTACTAACGTGTTAAATTACAGAAACACTTATTTGAAGTACAGCACAACACAATAAGATGTGAATGAAAATTTTCATTCAAACCCTGTGCAGGAGTTAATTACCAAAAACTTCAACTCATTAAACTCGTGGGCTGGTTATGGCGGAATGGACGTTATTAAAAATAACTAAATGCTTCAAATCGGTCTTTTGTTAACGTAAACTTTGGCGAACTTCACTGGCTACAAGTTCACACGCTTGAGTTGATGCTGCCAGCACTATATGTGTGCCGTTATATAAGTTTGCCACATTCAAGAAGCCCTAATTCATCTCTATTGTTACGTACAAGCTAATAAAATCTCTCCGGTTTTCTTAAATTACATTCTTAGTGGCTGTCTAATACTCGGCTATTCGACATTGGCGTCGGGGGAAATACACAAACAAAAACAACCACCTAGCTTGTTATGCACACACAAAAAAATCCAGCAAACTATAACAGTGCACCGGTTTAAGTTTGCGAGCTAGCTGCTAGCCTCATTAGGCTGAGCGGCTAACCTCTGTCGCTCTTTGTTCACATAATGGTTGGGTACCAAGCTAGCTGATGTGCTAACACACGGCGTACGAAGTTAAATAGTTAGCCGCTACACAAACAAGCTGCGCAAAGTTTGTATATTGTACGAAAACACCAACACTCTCGAACCCACCGTAAAATAATATCACATAAAATGGGAAAAATAGACGACTTGATGGGTTTCATTAAGCTAACGTTACCTCTCTACTGTATGCTAACACACATCCTAAATAAAGACATAAACACAAACACTCTATAAAACGATGATACAACATAAAACTTTATCCACGTTTTCTTGGCTGGAAATATTTTTTAATAAGCCCAGGTACAATCTGTGTGATTTCGGGAAATATCATTATTAATTTTAGACAACTAAAAATAAATCAGATACCGGCGATTTCCTGATTCAGCGGCTCTCTGTCCGTCTCTGGTTTGATTGATTTGAACAAAAGAAGCTGCAGTCTGCTTTTACACCACGTGGTCTGTTTTTCGTATTCATACAGGAAGCCGATACACACAGGGGTGCCGCCGGGTGATATGGGGCCCCGTGAAGAAAAACAGCACTGTGGCCCCCACCTCGTTCATATTGCAAACCATGCGAGCCCAAAAATATAACACTGTGCAGACATCAATATTCTGCTTGGATAATTACATTTTATGACTCTGTGCAAGCTTGATGAGAGATTTTTAATGTTAATGTTTGCTAATGATTGGTACCTTATACTAAAAACGAATAAAATATACCTTAACTACTGTTTAGAAGATATCTATATATATATATATATATATATATATATATATTATATATATACTATATATATTATATAATATATATATTATATACTATATATATATATATATATATATATATTTACTTAATGCACAGTTTGTGTGAAGCACCTATAATTTTGCTGTATATGTACAATGACAATAAAGGGCTATTCTCTTCTATATAAATTAAATAATCCTCTGGATATGTTTTTTTCAAACAAAGTATTGCAACATGAAATTTGTCTATGTCCAGAGACCTGGTGGAAATAAAAATAGATTTTAATCTGTTTTAGCTTCCTGAAAGCTCTCACCACCTGCAACAGTCAAAGACAGTGTGCAAAATACACCCAGAGCTGTACATCTCTAAAGGTTCTCTGCTCATGTTACAAAATAAATAATGTGTAGAAAAGTATATTTCCCAAAGGGCCTCCTGCAACTTTGGACATTACCTACTTCTTGGGTCCTACCTCTGCTCGCCACACAGCACAACCCTGACAATAGCAGCCATGGCAGTTTGTCTTCCTGCACCTGTTGGCTGTCTTACAACAGTCCCAGCATGGGAATAATCACTGCCTAGAATATAAATAAAAACACCTTAATCTGTTTTATTTTATCTTATTTTCACTGTGGTTCATTCATTCATCTAATTTGTTTTTGATTAATGTGTGTAGACATGAGTGATTGTGTTTATGAATACTGCTGTGATGGTAACTGTATTTATTTTATTAAGAAATAATATTTTTTCCATATGCTTGACTCGGGTGTTTTTTGGCAATAAGCTCTCTAGCTTTGGAGCAAAACCCTTTGACATGAAACTGAAGATAGAAGGGTGATCGAAGTGTTGCACAGCAAGCCTCGAGGGCCGGTGTCCCTGCAGGTTTTAGATCTCACCCTGGGTCAGCACACCTGAATCAAATGATTAGTTCATTACCAGGCCTCTGGAGAACTTCAAGACATGTTGAGGAGGTCATTTAGCCATTTCAATCAGCTGTGTTGGATCAAGGACACATCTAAAGCCTGCAGGAAATAATTCACACCAACACTCTTTCTGAAACAGCGAAGCTTCAGACTGCAGACATCGTTAGATGTTGTGATGGCCAAACCCGTGGCCACACTCTAAAGTCGGTAACTTTTGTAT